GCGCGGATCCGTCTGGATAAAAATACATGTGAGCAAGATTTCTCACATATCAATGGCGATTTCACGATATTTGGGGAAATTAGGTATGTACTACAATGTTCTATTTTGTAAATATATTTATAATTGTTTCCTAAAGTATTACTATAATTAATACCCACTTATGATTCCATAGGCCGAGTCCCAGGACGCGCGGTCACTGAAGCCAGTACCTGAAGCAGGTGTAAAAACAAAAAGGACAGAATAAGAAAAAAACACACCAAAAAAAAAACACCAAATCTCCCGACCACATATGTAGGGTGGCTTCAAGAAATATGGACGGGATTTGTTAAGACATTTTTTTTTTTGCTTTTATCTGGGCCGTGTACTTCTGCCTGTGAGCTCTTAGGGAATACTTTATGATTGTTGATGTGTTGATGACTTTTGTGAATCTCAAGGCTCAATGCAACTAACTTTACAACTGTTTCAAGCTATACCTGCGTCCCGAAAAAATAGAATTTGAATAAGGGGCTAATATATGCACGATGCAAATACGCAAAAACGCAGGGGCACAGGTATTCCCCGAAACCTATAAATATATACATAACCATGATCAAACAGAATTCCAATATGTACGGCCCGGAGAGCTAGAGGGTCCAAGGCTCTTCAAGAATGATGATCTTAGACTCCTTCAAGGGCCGACTACTGTAAATGCACAGCGATTCTTGCTTGAGGCTGCGGCTTCAAAAGATTCAGATGGTGTCAAAAGAACGGCCAACAGCCCAAGCCTTACCAACGCCTTCTACTACTACCCTACGGGTGTGTTTTCTGTCCGCTATCCTGGTCAACAATGATAAATTACCTGGGTGTCGGACTGATTTTGGAATCATTCTGGGGGGCTGTAGAAAATGAAGGTTTTTTGGCGAAGGCGCAAAAACCCATAGTTTCAGCGCGAAAAACGCGCAATTGTTCTAAATGTCTTTTTGCTATTTCCTACACGCCTGCTATGGTTTCATGCAAAAGGTGCGTCTTTGACCGTCGGCGAAATTATTGTATTTTAGTGTTTTCTGCACTTTTCAAGTTCGTCTTTGCAAAATGAAGCTTGTGAGTGGGACTGCAACAAGCATACGATGGCAGCAGTATGACCGTATGATGAGTACAAATAAGGGAAATGGTTCTACGGACATGACTGTTGCTCTTCGTAATTCTTCGTACCAGTAGAACGATGTGTATCAGTCTGTTGATCAGCATTGCTACCGTCACGAGTCTGCGACTTTCTCTGGCTTTCGAACAAGTGTTTAGCCCGATACTGGCCATTCTTCTTGAAGAGGGCACTCTGCTCCTCCCCCCTCCACTGGAACGCCCTCGCATACTGCCAAAGGCAGGGCGGTTTTCAACATGGGCCATGCTCCCAGCACCGTATGCTCTTGGAACACGAACGGAATTCTGGATTGGGCATGGATGCTCAGGTCAACGGAAGCTCTTGGAACACAAACGGAATTATGGTTTGGGCATGGATGCTCTGGTCACTGTATGCTCTTGGAACACGAACGGAAAGCCAACAACCGTAATCCTGAAAAACGTGCGTTTCGCTGGACGGAAAAGTCGCCCGATTGGCTACTACAACCAGCACCACGACGACTGCTTGGTGACTACCCAAAAATTGAAACCACGGCCGTCACCCGGCCGCATGCCTCATGCTGCGGTGCATCAGCTTCTCTCTGCTCGAATGTGTCCAAGTTGCGTTGCAAACGAGGGCCCACCAAAGGAGCATACTGGTCGGCATCGTGCGCAGTCCAGCTGTCCTGCGATGCGTCCACGTGGTTCTGACATCATGGAGCACTGAATTGGTTGTTGGATGTTTTTGGTATCATGCAACTTTGGGAGTTGGTTCGTGCCAAAGTCCAGCGATTGTGTATATCTTTGATGCTCAGATTGGAAGCTGGGGACGAACATGTTTCCCTGGTACAGTATGGGTGCGTTAGGCACAGTCAAGGACAGTGGATAGCGGCTGGTCATTCAGCGGGCATCTGGCCTTCGGCAAGCGCCTGGGGAGCGCAATGCAACTGCTAGCCAAACAACCCAGGTTCCGTAGTTGGGTGAAGGCAGCTATTCTCGAAGTTCTCAGTCAGGGGCGTGGGCTGCTGCACGGGTGCCATCAGCAAGATCCCTTACTCTCTCTGCCAAGCTTCTCACGCCTGGCAAAGCCAATTCTGAAGGCCAGTCAACGTTTGCACTTAGCCAATCCGCAGGAAGCAGTGGCAGGACAGCCCAGATCAATGGCGCAAACCCCGCGTGGCAGCCGATCAATCCTTGACTTAGATATGACTGCGGTCACTGCCAAGCTTGAATCTCCTAGGACATGCTCGCTAGAGCTGTACTGAGCACCAAGCCATGCCGGAATGCTTCCAACGCCTGCGGATGGTCAGTAGCCATGCCCGTGTTGACAGCAACCGCCCGCTGTCTGTTGCAATCAGAGTCTGGTCTGGCCTAATCTTCTGCAGAACTCATTGGCAAAGGCCAAACAGTTTCTGTGAAGCCAGTGATAGTCCTACCAAGCGTGGATGCCGCGAAGCAAATCTCTCAACTGCTCTGCTGCGAGCTCCTCGCCCAACCAAGTCTCAATCAAGTCCCCAATTACCAGGGCAACCTGCCGCTCTGGAAGGATGTTGGAGGGACACTTGGCTGGAACTTCCAAAGAAAAGCAGTGCCCAAACAAAATGTATCTCACACCTACTCAAGACCAGGCCTCAGATGCAGTCAATGGCGTGCTTCCGAGTGAGACTGTTTCACGATACCTGTCTCGATTCTACGTTGCAAATCGGATGCGGCCCGCAGTTTAGCAGCTCTTCCGTCGAGCCTATGCTTTCGGTTGGTGCGTGGCACCTCGCAAACGACTCCGGTCCGGTGGCCTGCGAACGAAGCAACGGATCTGCCAGGTGTGCACATGTGCGAACGTCGCTGTCTGCGGGGCTTCAGGCAGCCTGGAGCTCCGCCGTAACTCCACTCGCGACCGTAGACCTAAAGAACGATCTGATCTGGGATCAACTTGGCTGAGCCCCGCAGCCCGGCTCCTTGCCTCAATGCCTGCATGGAGAGCACCTCCCACAGGCATCAGCTCGGACCTGTACCCACAAATATCCCAGGATCGCATCGCGGTGCTAGGAAATTCTGCAGACTTGGATTCCCCACGCAAATATCTGGTTGATCCGAACAAACCTGCCGGACGACGGCAATAGCAACTCTTACTGGCAGTGTCACACTGCGGTGTGTCGCAAACATCAATGCAAAGCGAGGACAGCTCAAGGGCTCGGCTCAACAAGCTCATAGACGTGGACCAACACCTGGTGCCGTGCGGCATCTTGCTCCAGTCTGTGTGACCATGCATGTTGATAGTGCTGTTTCTATTCAAGCTGACCATCGAAACCCAAGCTAGCAATCGCACCTGGCTTCCGCTGGTGTCGGCAGCGGTCGTTGTCAAGACCTCTTCAAACCAACAACAAAAAACAAGGGTGCCGCCAAGCCTCAGTCTATCTGCATGTGCAGCCTCCTGCAAGCAATGACTGGCTTGCCGCAAGCAGCCGGCATCCCTGAAGTGGTCCTCCGCAAGCACTGGAAGTGATAGAAGCTTGCAGGCACTGGCTTTCGCTGCGGCTCCTCCACAAAGCCTCCCGACCGAGGAATGCAGCTTGCCTCCAGCCAGTTGTAGGTACGCTAATCCTGCACGATTGATGCATTGCCTTGCCTGGTCGGTCATTATGCGCATGCATCAGCCATGCGAACGCTATGGTTGGGAACTGATTTGCTTAGTTCAGCTTTGAACCAATCAAGCTCATTGCCTCTTCTGGAAGAGCGCTTACTGACGCTGACTTCTAAAGATCAGCATCTGTAGTCTTGGAGCATCGGGCCAACGGGCATTGGAACTTCTGCTGCTGCGTGGGTTTCATACGCCAATAGCAGCAAAGCATGTTGATGGTCCAACAACTTTTTTGTTGCTAGCGCACGCATCTAGGGTTTACAAGCGAGGTCTGGCAGGTTGCACGTAAGAGAAAAATGGACATTGCCTGCCCACACCGTCCGAAGCTTTGCTCCAAATTTGCAGTGTGGGGGGGTTAAACGGCAGACTTGCGTTTCAGGCCAGCAAGTGCAGCACTTAAACCTTAAAGCTTACCTGCTTGCAATAAGCATGCTAACTAAGTAGTGGTACAGTAGCCATGCTGACTAGGCACAATGGTCACTTACTTCGCTTCCTTGAGCACCCAGTCGTATCCCTCCTGCATTGAGCTGGAAGAACATGCATGAATATGTGGACAAAGTTTTGGCACAAGCATCCTCATCAAGTTTGTCGGCAAGCTCTTTGCCCCCACTCTTGAGGATGCGCCCCTGGTACATCACGTGCCTAGAAGGTGACGAAGCTGCAAACTGCGGCCGACGGAATGGTTGCAGGTGGAGTAAGGAGGGAGCACATGGTCAGCCTCCACATATCGGAGAAATCGCTCAAAGTGTGTCACAACCTGATGCCGTCAGCTGAGCAACAGCCGTAGCTCTGTGAAGCATTCAAAGTCTCCGGCAAGCATCGCCCTGCTGGGATCTTGTTCTCGGACACTTCTGATAGCTTCAGCCACATCCTGCCAAGACAAATCAGCTTCTTGAGGCTTGTTAGGACCATAGACATCTGACTGCGATCTTGGATAGGCTTGGAGCAAACCTGTCCTTCAGAGCATCTATGTCGAGCCCAGAATCAATCCTAAAGTGGCTAGCTTCTTTATCTTGGATCAAATGACCGCTAACACCATGGCATGCAAGAAAGCAAGCATGCTGCCGAGATGTGCTGTCATATTGACCGCGGGATCAACTAGACTCGATGCCGCCAATCTGCTCATCCAGAATTGCTAGCTTGGGCTGCAAGACGGCCATCTGCAACATCTCATTCCTGCAGGTACGGCGGAAAAATGTCCCTGAACACCAGCTGACCCCCATTTCTTTTTCTACCACCCGTTTTATCTCCGTTCGCATGCCTGCAGGCGAGGATTTTGTAAAAGTAGCAACATGAGCAACATTTTTACAATGCTTGCTACTGTCACGACATGTCTGGTCGGCCTCTTGCGCTCTCCTCCGCTGAAACCTGGCGGGTGCTCAGTCCACACGACAGTTGCGCAGCACGAAAACAGTGCGTCAATTCAGGTAGTCGAGATCTGCTTTCTCATGATTGGACCTTCGTTTACGTTTCGGTTGAGGAAGTCCGGGTTGATCTTCAAGTCCTGAAAGATGCGGTCATCACATGACACATGTGGCAGCCAATGCGCCCGCCTGGAGCTTCTGAGTCACCAGACCATAAAACTCGATAACGTCTAACTCAGGCTCCTCTCTTGCCTGGGCAAAGCCAAGAGAAGATCTGCAAATCAGCCCTATGTGGTATTGAAATGCAAAGCAGAGGAGAGAGATCGTCCTAAAAAAGATGCAGACCACTATGCCATCGCATGAACGCTGCAAGTATGAATCGAAAGCACAGCTGCAACGCTGGCATATGTTTTCAACTGGCAGCGGCTCATCAGGCTCTTTCCTGCTCTTTGGCTGAACTTGCTTAAATGCAGCCAGCAATCCCGCTCAGAGCCATTTCTACCTCAGGCTTCACTTTGCTAGCGCAGCTGAACATCCTACTGCTTGGGGCCACTTCATGTTCAAAAAGCCCTCGGGGGCGGGCCAAAGTTGCAATCGAGAAGGCGCCACCCACAATGGCGCACATGGAGGTGAAAACATAGGACCAGGGCTTTACCTATACAGCTTTCATGTGGTGGCATTGAGCTCCACATTCTTACCGCACCATAGTTACGCTAGTGATAAAGGAGAAGCTGGGAAATATTTCCAGAGCATCCTACTTTGCCGCAGACCGATGCCCGCACCTGCTCCGTCTGCTTCATGAGGAAAGGGCTGAAGTCATAGACCAGGAACACCCCCGGCAAGCCAGATAATTCACCCTCCCGAACTTGAACATTCCGAGCACCTCGGTCCACACTTTCCTAATGATCGCTGTTGCATGCTGTTGCCATCCTTCCACAGCATGCGTGCCAGAAAAGCCAAAGCCAAGGTGCTGTCTGTGACGGAGTACTGATTTGTGTATGTTGTCGTGCCCCAGCGGCTGATGTACACCGTTGGGACGAGCTTGATGTAGTAGTGATACCTGACCATGCCCTCGCTGTTCCGTGCTCCAAAATGCCACGTCACAAACAAGCCATTCAAGCTTGGGTCGGCGCATCCAAGAGCCAGCGCCGGCCTGGGTAGTGTCTCCAGCTAGAGTGAGCTAGGCAACGCCCGCAACAAAAACGTGTACCCCCAGAATACGTCTCTTGGTTGCTTGGTGCCCAACAATCTTGTGGACACCCTCCAGTGGAGACTGAAGTCCGTCAACGTAGTCTCCTCAGAGCTTGCCCCAAGCAGAGGTGAGAGTTCCATGCACAGGTGGCCGGGAAGAAGTCCCAGTGCGAGCTTCGCGTTTTATGAAAAGAAGTCTGACTTGCGGAGATAATCCTTGACTTGCCCTTATAAGGGCACCAGCTTTGGTAAAGCTCAGCAGCAGGAATGCTCTTGGTCACACCAGGTGCGGCTGCTGTAAAGAAGGGATCGCCAATGCCAAGGGCTGGACTCTTCCAAGGATCAAAAGGGAAACACACAATGTGCCTGTAATCCGCATGATATGCGCATTTGCCTTTGAGGTTTGCTGCAGAAAGTCATCCCTAACTCGGCAAGCACCCTCCACTCGGCAAACATCCCAACCATACCTCATCTGCCAGGACTCCAAAAGTAATTGAATGAATCATGTGCGATGTGTTGAAGCCATCGCCTGAGCTTGTAGACGATGTTTCACACCACATAGCATTGCTTGGCACGGAACGTTGGAAGCATGGATTCTTGCATCCTCCGCACGGGAGCTGATAACAGAAGATTGCCTCTGCTATCCTGCTGACAGGTTGCCAATATCTTCGATGTTAAATTCATGCACCAGCTTGCCGTCCCGCCGCACGGATCTTCCCAAGGCTACATGGACGTTTCCACTTACCTGCGCCCAGCTATGCCAAGCTTCGTCAAGGCAGTTTTGGTGTGCATGAATGCAAGCGGGCCTTGTTCACAATCACATGCCCTGTTATCCTGCATCCAATTGAGCTTTTGCATTGCATTGCCGTATCCAACACGTGGAAGTACGGCAGCCCCTGTGCGACACAGCAGATGCAGCCGCAACAGCCAGTCCGATCAGGAGTTGATTTTTACTGGGCTTTATGAAGTTAATTCTGCTCACAAATGGATGCTCTGGATGAGTTACCTGGATCAGCCGGCCTTGTCATTAAAAGCATCTTTCAACGCCTGGCAGCTGTTGCAACACCTCAGCTCAGGCAATGTGCTCCTTGCACTAAGCAGCTCAGTTCGGCTTCTGAGGGGAAGGCTTATGCTCGGGATCTGTGGCCTCCAAGCAAGGCCAGCAATCACCTTCTTTCGCTACTGGATCACCTGGACAGGACACGGCTCATGTGGCAGGGCACGTGCCGTGAGCTTTGCGAACCTGATGATCTCTTCCCGTTGGCATCTAGGTTGTACATGGCCAAACCACCATGCGCATCCACCTCAGGTCTTCTTAGGATGTGGTGATGCAACCGCCATTGCCATAGCCCTGGCCTGCGTATCACCGGCAGAATCCACAGTGTCAACAGACACCTGGCTACGGGAGCTACGGGAGACGCCAAGCATTTTCGACAGAAGGCCAACAAGCAGCTTTGCCGTGTGCCTCCCGACATCGCGCTGGTACTACCCGTGTTTGTACTTGTAACACTGAATCCAAATGCTGCCTCCGAGCATCGGAGGTGCGGAAAGGTCATGTCCAAGGAGATGGGCAGCCTCCTGTCTATGTTCGTATCAACCTTAGCAGGTGTCGAGGCAAGCAGCGAACACGCATCAAGCCGACATCTAAAGGATCAACTACGGACGTTGGAGGGACGAAAAAGGCGCCAGGTCTTGAAAAAAAACAGAGCCTCACGCCCGGAGGCTCCACTCTTGAGCTATAGCCTCATCTCATTCTGGACGCCTTCGGAACACTACGGACCCCGTGAGCAAAGGACTTTATCAAGATTTGCATATCAAACTTACATATCGTAAATAACTCGTGTGACCTTGCAACGTTGGCTTTCAGCTACTTTACCCTGCTGCCAGGTCGCAGTGATGCTGTGAAGCACCTCCACACTAAAAAACTCGCGCACCTCGCCTGAGCTGCATCTTCAAAACTTTGCAGGCATTTCTTGCAGACACTGGAGAGGTGTGGAAGCAAACACACCTATGCTACGTCTGGAAGTGTGAGCTGAAGGGAGCCAAGTGTTGCTCAAAAAGCCATCCCAATTGCAGCTGAGGTGCAGTATACTAGCACAGCGAGGATTGCGCATGTCACTAATGTCACAGCGCCCCCAAGCTGCCTTTTTTGCATGAAGTCATCATGCACCTGCATTTGAATGGAGCACTGCGCATCACGGCCTAATGCACAGCACAAGCAACTGCCACCTTGTTGTACACGTCGAACTTTTTCAACGTGTCAAGAGCTCCTGACTTGGAGATGCCGGCATCTGGATCGCCAACGCCGGCAACCTCGACATACAAAAAGTACAAGACTGTTCCCAGACAGCTTTTTGCAGCAGCAGTTGCATGCTCAGTGCCTGGCATTTCGGCGCCGTATGCCGGAAGACATCCGCACGCGGCTAGGAAATTTAATTTAGCTAGAGGCTGTTGTTTGCTACAGGTTCTCATGGGTGGGATCGCTGAAGCACAACAAATAAGAATGCAGAAGCAACCTGCGCGGCTGCTCAGTTGAATCATCGTTTCACATGTTGCTTTGCCGGCTTTGTTTCACTGGTTAATCTCGGCGCCTGCTGTAGCGTTTGTAATCAGAGCTGCATGCATTCAGGTGTTAGGCATGGCAGCACTTGACAGAGCCCAGCTTTGCCTGAGACCGAGGCGCGTCTCTGCGCGTTGTAAGCGGCTCGGAGGAAGTCCAAATTGCTGACCTTTCAAGAGAACTGAAATCAAAATTTGTTCACACACAGCCAAGCTGTGCTGAGAAGGCTTCCCCACCAACTGCAGGAGGCGATTGAAAGGCCAAGAAGAGCCCTTCGAGCGCGCGCTCCTAAATCCAGGTACTTTGCATGGCACCATGGTTGCTGCAGCATGCACGCGCCGGTTGAAGCAGGAAACAGCTGTGGAACCCACGTGCGGTTCCATCTCAAGCAGGTCTGTCTCACCCAGCTTTGCGCTGCCGTTAGTGACCTGCTAAGAATTTACTTGCCTCAAGCACAACCTGTCTTGTGCTTAAAGGTCATCATGCGCAAAGCTGCAAAGCCTCATAGGCCGAATCTCCAATGAGAACTTTGGCCAAGGTGCTCTTTCCGGAGCCTGGAGCCCAGAAACGCTGTGAACCTGTTGCCATTTGCTCAGGGCCCTGCCATTTGGCCCCATGACGGCATGGACCTGGCGAGTAAATGCTTATTGGATCTTATTGGCACATCTCTACAGTCTCTAGCCCCTCTTTGCCTCGCCCGCTCTTATGGTGAGGTTGAGCCCTTTCAGGATCTGTTTCTCATCCTCATCTGTGCCTGCTTGCATGTTTAGCGCCGACCATTCCAGTTCCGCTGCAGTCTGAGCTTGCGGCTTTTGGCCTCGACTTCCTTGACCTCTAGCACGACCTAGGGCTTGGAACCGCACCCTACTCGCGGAGCTTGGCTACAGGTTGAGGCATCAGCGGGCGAGTCTGTGGCTCTGCAGGTCTGTCGGACCTGTCTAACGTTCTGCAGCCTTCGCCTGGTCTGCCTCAGACAAGTGTTCAAAGCAAAGCACATGAAGGCCATGAAGGCCGAAAGATTTCAGATCTACCTTGATGGCCGGCGCCCAGCGCAAAGTGGTCCCTACTCTCTTCAAACTGCATGACAGGCTGGCCTGGAGGCCGCGACACCAGCGACGGCTAGCGAGGCCAAACCACCTGGTGTAAAGACATTCTTCTGTTCTGGTGTTGGCTACTAACCCTATACACTATATCTTACTGGTCCAAAAGCCGTAGCCGTAGCCGTTCACCCACCTGCGGCTTTTACAAGACTGGTAATAACCGCGCACTCCCTACTTTCCTCCTCGCCAAGAAGTGCAACTGGAGCTCGCATGACAACCCTCCACCAGCATGACCAAACCACCGCTTCTTCCACTGCCCATTCCACCATGTATTCGCCCTGCCGCGTTGGGGGTTTTACTGGAAGCCAGCGTGTTCCCAGCTGGTCCCACCATCGCTACTCTCCTCCTTTGATGCTGGCGCACGGGGAGGCTTTTAAAGCTTCAGCTTTTGTTGCTCTCGCTGGGCCGCCTCCTGCTTTGAGAAGTTCCTGCTGGTGGTAGCCCTCAGGGTTCAAATGAGAGGAGTACAATCCTAGGTGATCCTCATTTTATCTCCGCGACGCTGCAGGCAGCGGCCTGTTTATGCCAGCTGAGTCTCTTGAACTAATTCTTGTGCCTTTCCTCATCCCCATCGCCTCCCCCCCTTCCCTCCTCAAAGCCCCCCTTTCTCCAGCAAGAACTGGGTCGACATCGGAAAGCGTGTGAGATCATGTCGAGATTGGTGCAGCATGCACATGCACTCGCATCAAGCTCCAGAAGGGTCAACGAGACAAGCCAGCCTGCATGCCAAGTCGAGGGTGTCGAATCTGCACTGCGCCGAGACGATACAGCCTGAGTGGCCAAAGCTATGCATGTCATTGAAACACGGGGCCACTGCGCAGCTGTTGGGTGGTTGCATGTACTGGTGACAACACGGCAGCTTCTGGGACAGGTTTTGCTTGGCAAGCCCTTACTGCAGCTTTACTCAAAGACTCAAGATCCTTCCAGAAGCCGCACTCCTCGCTGTGAATGACCCGTTACGCATCCGGATAAAACATCGTCCCAGAACCTACTGCTTATCCTGTTTCTAAGCTGATCAAGAAAGTGAGCATCGGGCAGGGCTGCTGGAAGGCCTGGCTGCCGCACTCAGTGCTCCTGACATCGGAAATTCAGTCGAAGAAGTGTACTCGAATGGACTTTACCGGAGCACAGCTGAAGCGGGAGCCACACTCGGCATCAAAGCCTTGGCGGTGCCAGCTGCTTGGCCGAATGGAGGAGCTTGAAGACACCTACGGTCGCAGTTGACTTGGAGCAAGACATCTTTTTGTAGTCTGTCGATCCGTTTCAATTGCTGCCAAATATCCGGAGGTGCCGCCATTCTCGCAACTTCGAAGGCATCCATGGCTGATCCACAGATGCGCGGACCTAGCCTATCTGCCTCCCAGACTTGCAGTGGACAAAATCTGCGAACATCAAGATCTAGGCTTAAAACTCAAGCATGCGTCATGCAATTCACGCAAATCAAGGAGCAGCCCAAGGGCATGCAATGGGAAATGTTGCCAAGAATTCGCATGTTTTGCTCAATGGGACTGCTGCGCTCTTGCCAGCTTCACACTGCTAAGGTGAAAGGTGACCCAGCATGTAGCTGGCTGAGATTTCCCCACAGCCGCGGTAGAACCTGTCAGCAACTAGTTTCGAGTCAACATGCCGTGGTCGACCATCCTGCCTCATCCGCGTCTTCGCGCAGCCATTCACGTACGAATGCAAGGGGAATGTCCTGCATTCAAAGGCTTGCCACCTATCGCTCACACCTTTATTTAAAGCAAGAGCGAGCCAGCTTAAAAACTGGATACGCAAACGTTCATGTTCAACCCGTCCTGCAAGCCCCAAACAGAGGCTTGGCGATAGCAATCGAACTCGCTGATGGGAAGCACCTCTGGCAGTCGGGCACCAACAATGAGTGGCCATCGATGGGATTGCGAGCACTTGCCTCTGGCCATTCGCTTTGTTGCACGAACAGAGCGTACGGCCCAGTCAGGCGGATCAGAAACAGATCATGCTTGGACAGGATCTGGCGAAATTCAACTTCACCAACATGCACGGCGCCGTAGCAGCAAGCCGCCTCAATCGCTGCCGATAGTGAGCACGTCATCAAAGCTGGAGGGGTGTCGCGTCCAGGGCCACCTAAGCTTTTTTGGACCCAGGATCTCCTTCGGCCTTTCACAGGGTGCATGCCCGAAGTGCTTTAAGACTTGCGCGCCGCGCACTCTCGGGAAAATCAGTGCAGCCAGAAAGCTAAGCGGCAAATACTTGAAGGGCGGCGGAACCTGCATTCGTCTAAAGCGTGGAACATGATGAGCTATCGCGGTGTTCTTGAATGCAACTTGCCTGGCTGAGCACGAGCAGGGCGACCAGTCGCGGGCGCACCTTGAACCGCCAGAGTTCTCTCCAATTCAGTTGCGCCGCGGACAGGAATTCAACTCGCCCATGGCTTGAGGTCTCTGAAATAAGTTTCACGAATCCATTTGCCTGATGTTGGCTAGCACGAAAACCCAATGATGTGCCTCAAAGCAGACCTGTCCTAGAGTGGACTCATGCAACAAGATGCAACAAGCAAAGTGCTTGACCCCCCACGGCCATCATGGAATCCATACTACGAGGCTCCTGCCTGGCCACTGGAGATGATCAGACGTACCACTGCTTAGTCGTCATTGACAAAGCTGACACGGTACTTTTCAGGAACTTCTGCTACTTACGTCCTCAAGAAATGAAGCCCAGGAGTGCCTGACCCCATCAGACCACGCTGAGATTAATTCACCTCCCGCGTTAGCCCCTGTATCGGCCTTGGAGTCAGACAGCCTCATTATATTCCTTCTCCTTCACGAAGCCCTCCGTAAACAGGATAACAACAGGCCGGGTAGGCTTATCTTTCACAATCATGTAAATCAGGCTGCCTTCTGCCCCGACCCTTCCTAACTGTGACCCCAAAGGACCGATTTCTATTCTTTGATATTTGCACAGCATATACAGCTGCGCATCATTGTGGCTGTGATGTACTTCGTGTAAACATAACCGGTTATTAGACTTTCTTCAATGCACAGACCACAGCGGCCATGGCCATTACAGCTCGCGCTCTCGCTTCAGCCTATGCAAAATGCGAACGGATTACAGCCAAACCCCGCAGAACAAGCTTCGAAGGGTGATCCAAAAATCACACAACCAATACCCCACACCACGAGTAGCAGCACTGGTAAAACTCAATAGATGTTTCCCCCCTGCCAAATACATTTTTTCTGAGGCGACCACGCCAGAACGCAACAGATTGTGAAGAACCTGACAGGAAACTCCTTGTGGCAACCCGTCCAGCCGCAGAAGGTCCAACTCGCCTGAAGCGCCGGCCAGGTCGACTTTTCATAGCTGCTACGGCAGGAGTCCATGCCTGCAAACTCAGCAGGAAGTTGCACTTCGGGCGATGTCGAGCGGAGTTGCTCCTCCGGGATGCTCATTGTTCGCAGTGCCTGCAGCTTGAGCCAAGTGCTGGCTTTGGCCATGTTGTGGTGGATCGAATTTTCTTTGAAAAAGCTGAGCTGCGCTCTGCAATTGACTCGCCCGAGTCAGAGAAGCAACCTGGAGCGTTCATCAACTTCTAGGTTTGCAGTTGGATCAATCGTGCTTCTGACAGCGAACCTGCTTGCTGTCGCAGAAAACGCAGAGCCCCCGCACTTGCAGTCCTGCTTGCCTCGGATACAATCTGCATCGAACAAGGCCATGTCCGGCTCTCACCCCCTCTGGGCTTTCGGACTGCAGCTCCAGCATCAGTTCCACAGCAGGATCGTCAGGGGCATCTGCTCCTGCTATTGACAACGACACCCTCAGGCCGAGTCTTTTGAACAAGCACTCCTTGGCCATGGACGCCGCCATAGAGACCCCCAAAGGTCAGCACCGAACCCGTTGGTCGTCCTCAGCCAATAGCATCCAATCGCATGATGGCCAGGCGATCAGCGAAGCGAAGCTGAGCAGTTCCAATTCTTGCACGAGGCACCGCGCAGTTGTCGGAAGACGGCCTGAAGATCCCCAGCGGCTCAGGCTCCGGAAGCTCCGAACTCTTCGGCTCGAATTTGGTGGATATGGAACTGCGGTGGCATTGGATGCAGGTGAGTAGCGATGATCTCCTTCTCCAAGTGATTCTCAGTGTTGACAGCGCAATTCGGATCTACCCGTTGCCCCAGGGCATGCCTCTGTCAACGCATGCCAACAGATCTAGGCGCTGGGGTGATGTGATGAAACCATTTGCCACCATCGCAGCCAAGGTGCCGGCGGAGCTTTGCCGCCCAGTCTTCACTATTGATTTGAGGTGTCCGTGCTTCAGCTACAAGCGCATCTGCAGGGAACACCTCGAGCAACTGCAATTGCTGGTCCTCCGGCCTCAGTCTCCGTTTTGCCTGCTCTGCCTTTAGATGCGGTCTTTCATTGAGTCTGCGGCAGGTCCATCTGTTGGCTGCTACCATCTAAGAAGACACGAAGTTGCCCTTGATGGAGCTTCAGGAGTAGGAACCTTGCAGTTCTGGAACGAAATTCCAAGATTGAGAAACCACGCAGGCAATTTGTAGAATCCGACCTATCACAAATTGTATTAGCCAAAGCAAAGGGGGCCCCAGGCCATGCACGCTCGCTGCCCATTCAATCCCGAAATCTGGGTGAAGCACGCGTCTTCAGCCACCCGTACGGTCCGCGTCCAGGTATGTAACGATGGATCAACTCTGGCCATGTAGTCCTACCAGGAGAGCGGGCGACATGCCAGGCACCAGCTAAGTTTCCCGTTGCCATTCCTCTTCCCCAGCAACGGCGAAGCTGGTGCAAAGGGATGCAAGGACAAGCCGACCTGTTGCATGAGCACACATCAATGCCACGCCATTGAAGCTTGTTGCACATGTTGCCACGCTGTGCCTGGGAAGCGTGCCATGGCTCTCATCCAATCTATTCATATCAGCGTTGGTCTCGGAACGCTGATGCATGCTGATGCTTTTCAGCGGTAGGGATTTTGCTCATGGTAGCTTACAAACACAAAGTTGACACTTACGGCGGGCCCATTCGATTCAAAGAGGTTTGAGCGCTGGTGAGACAACGCTGGATTTGGGAGCACGGGTTCCTTCCAAATTTAGACAACGTAGCCTCCCAATCGCGGATGAGAGCTTATGGTGCTGGTCGCGAAACATGTCGGATTGATGTGGCTGACCGCTGCATATGAAGATCGATGGGCTACGAATTTTGAGATTCACGCTCTTCTGTGGCGAGGGTGAATCCTGGTGGCACCGGTAATCCGCGTAAACTTCTGAGCCTCAAATGCAGCTTTCCGTACGCGGCTTGTTTAGCGGACGACTAGCGGACCAGAAGGTGTCAACGCCGAAATGACAGAAACACGCTACATACGGCTCTTGTCATCACAGCGGATCCATGGTCAATGCAGTCAGCTACGTGTCCTCTGGCTGCCTTTCTCTTTCCTGAGGCTTTCGTTCAGGTAATGCGGTCGTGAGCCACAAACCTTCCTTGGTTCTGTACCGGAAGTTCCTTGCGGCAGAATCATCTTCCAAATTGTTTAAATGCGAAGGCACGCAGCAGCCGAACTACTTCAATGCTGGACAGCTCTTCACGCGCATGGCTTTGGCCGACCTCTTGTCAACACATGCCTTGCGCACTTGGTAATTAAGGCTCTACAATGAGCGCATGTTCCGCGCAGGATGGATCAAAATTGATCGAAGCATATATATAAACTTTCAAATTCCAAAATTCATGTCTGGCTCACCAGGGGCCAAAATTTTGCACCCGAGGCTTGGTTGCCTTTG